TTGGTGAGGATCGTCCTACTTTCTGAGTTGGAAATCCCGACCTCAGGGGGGCGTTCCAGATGAGTTTCCGACTTGGAGCTCGCATTCAGACTTCTGAGTACAACTCGAACATAGCATGAAACTTGCTCTACTATTAGTGGTGCTGTAACCATTTATCTGTGTCATAATCTCCTGTTGTTCTTTGTCTCCATCCATCTCTCTCTCTCTCTCTCTTTCTGCACCTCCCTCTATTCCTTTTCCAATCCAAACACAGTTTCAGCAGATGACTATCTAACATGAGTCCGGTGCTGCTAAATTTTTTCTTTCTTGCCACTTTAACCTGCTAAAAGCTGCAAAAAGTTTAGTCCATGCTGGATTATGGCAACCTCAAAACAATCAGCTGTGACATCAAAATCCCCACATTTAAAAATTTTACACTAATGCATTAACAATGCCACAGTACAAAGAGTTACATCTCTGTTGTGTAAATGACCCCTTTTGGTGTATGTTCAATAAAATTGATGTGGCCCCTGAGATAAACAGTAAACAGAGATTTTGGAATAGAGATCAGTATTTCTGTGTTATCTCTTTTTAAATGCAAGAAATAAAAAAATAAAAAATCCCCCGTCCAGTAAACACACACACATATATAAAGACACAGCATGATGCATGTGACAGCAGCAGTGCCAGCAGCCTGAGACAGCAGAAAGTAGCCAATGTGCTCTTGGTAAGCACCTAGCAAACAGAGCGTCACACTCACTCAGCCCAGAGGGATTCAACTCAACCCAGATGGATGAAAAAAAAAAAAAAAGTTTTAGAAGTGGTAGCTATGGCAACCACACTGGTTTGACATCATCAATACATTATAACCACCTTGGGTTTTCCCTTTCACCCTCCTCTCTCCTATATACTGTACAGGCGATGATGGAGGAGAATACTTAATCAAATACGTTATACCGTCTTAAATTCTCTGCCAGTATTGAAAAAAAGTGTGTGACTGTTAATGAGTCAGGAGGGATCCAGGAGCAGCTTTCTGCTTTTGAGGTTTTTCATTCTTTCCTATCTGAGAGCTCCACACAGAGACACATCGGTGGTTTTATCTGACAAGCCCTGCATGCAGGAACCCCTCACCCTCCCACAAACTGGAGCTGTTTGTAACTGACACCAGGAGCCAAATACCTCTAACGGTGCTCTGCTCTGCTCTGCCTTCACTGTCAGCAGAGGTGAAGTCAGTCAGATGACATGACAGCTCTAAAAACACATCCTCCTTTGTAGCTAGAAAATACCATAACACCCTCTGCCAGCCATTGTGCTGTTAACCTTGATGGCATGTGCGCCTTCATGAGTGGCAGTCTGAAAAAATGATGACTACGATAGAAAACGTGAGGGTCAAATTTCAGGAGAGCTGCCATTTAAATCATGTTAGGTGTGCGGTTCTTGGTGAAATATGTCCCATTTTCACTGTTCCTGTATGAGCATCTTCCACTGTAATAAATCTTTACTGACATTTTACATCTGAGGTGGTAATAATAAAAGCTAACATAAAGTGATCCAACAAATAAGTAGGCATACTGCTATTATGTCTTCATTCTGCTGTCTTTTTCCCTCTTGGAGGACCGACCTGTTGGATACAGATTCTTTCAGTCAAGAAGTTTCCTGGTATCTCATCTGACAGCGTTTGAATTCTGCACTGACAGGTATTAAAATAAAACCCAGCAGATTTAACTCTCATGTACTGCATGCAATGACTCCACACAGAGAACTGCTGTATATTCTTTCTGACAGGTCCCCGTCAAGCTCTCTCTATCCATCTGTCTCTTCATCGTTTCAGGGAAGGTGGCAAACAGAGGTAGTTTTTGCTGCTTTATGAAAGTCTCTGCACCCTCAAGGGCATACAGTCTGGCCCTGATAATAAAAACTCAGATAGGGATTTATCAGCGAAGGAAATGACAAAACAATCCTGCTCACTGAGACCCTGATGGTCTTTATGATGGGGGACGTATCGCTCTGAAGGGTCATGTATTACCTGCTTTACAGAAATAGCCAATTTACAATGACCACAATGAAATCAGAGGAGATGATCATACCAAAATGATTCAACAAGTAGTAGAGGATTTCATCTGTTCAAAAGTAGTGCTTTCAACTATGTGACTGAAATAAATATAGCATTTGGGTTTCCAGTCTGATATGACTCAAACAATCCTTGGCTTTGTTGTGGAAGGAAAAGAAATAAAGTAATTTTGTTGTTTTGATTTGTAATTGTATCACATCATAAAATTAGATTGGACTACATTAGATGAAAACTTTATTGATCCTTTTGGGAAGGATACCTCGAGGAAATTCAAAGTTTTGCAAACAAAGCTTAATTTTTGTCCCAATATTAATACTTTTAATTCCCCAGACATGCTTGTCGACCATAGACTGTATATAGAATGGACGCTTTCTGCCTCCTCGCTGGGCGAGAGAACAGCACTCTCTGGTGACGGGCTGCAGTATAGGTCATAAATCCCCCCTCCTCCAG